AGCTTCTCACTGTTTTCAGAAAACTGCTAATTGCCCCAAACATTGTGAAATTTCATATAAAAAATTTGACTGTTTCATGAATTATTCCACCCTTTTCTCTCAAGACCCCTACTCAGGAAATACTTTCTATTATATTTAAGTCCAAGGAATGTAAGCAGGACTTGAGCATCTGCTTAGCATCATGCAGGTGCTCACGTGTCCTCCCCAAACGAGAATTCTCTCCTGACTGACTCCCACGAGAACCGACGGAAAATATGGCACAAGCTCTGTCATCTCTACTGAAGCTTCAACTCCTCACTCCCTTCTTTTTTGCCCTTCCCACCCCTCAATTTCAAAAAAACAGGAAAGACAAGATTTGGAGATCAAGTCAAATGTCCAATTTATTTTTATAACTTGAAACTGGAACAAACGTTGTTTTGAACGAGCGTACAAATGAAATGGTAGACACATGCTGAACTCAACATTGTGACAATAAGGGAAAAAAAAGAGGCCAAAAATCTTGTACAGAGAATAAAAGGAACAATAAATATTTCACTAAGCCATATTGAAATGACCTCCAGCCATCTCAACATTTTATCCATAATAAAAAAAAAAGTGCTCTCGTTTTTTAAACAGAGCACAAATACCAAGCAATAATAAATAGTTCCAAACTTGTAGTAAAAGACAAAACCTCCAAGTAAACAACAAAAGCTCATACAATAAGTAATAGAAAAAGGTAATAAAAATATTTTGCCTTGCCGGTACAAATGCAAACAACTTAAATCAACGTTACTTTGCTTTGCAGTTCTAAAATACAAAGAGCACCATAAAAATGAGTTTGCCTGTGATAAACAAAACCTTGGACTGTCTTTTACATAGGACTGGGATGAAATGCTGATTTTTTTGACCCTTTCCTGAAAAATTGGTATTTTTTCTTTCTAAAACCAGGTTCTCAGACCTGTCCTGTTGCCAAGGGAGTTGACTGGAGTTTTGCTCTGGACATCAAAGGCAGCAGGACTACACACAATGGAAGTCATATATTGAACCTTAAAATAATAATAAAAAACTATTTAAATTGTGAAGAGAATTATGGCAGCATTCTAGCTATTTTATGTGTATGTTATATTGTGCTTATGGCCTAGTAAACTACAGTTCTTCTAAGCAAGAAGAAAAGGAGGGCCATTTCATTATCACTACAGTCTGCAGAAACACAACCCTTGTGCTTTTGGGTGACTTATTGTTAGTTTCAGTGATTCAAGTCACAAAGTTAGACAACTGCTGGTGTTAGCTATCCTGGATAATTAAAAACAACAGGGAGACCAGAGCTCCTAAGCAAATGACACTAAAATGAAAGGTAAAAGTCCTTCTTAAATCAATGAATTGTGAACTGAAAATATGTGGTTAACTTCTGATCTTCGTTACACTGATGCATGTCCAAGGGATTCTGCTGAGTTCTGTGACATGACTCGGGATTTATCTGAACGCCAGAGATCTGAATTTTCACCAAAAAGTGAAAATGTGCCTTTAAGGGACCACATTCCAGCCTCAGCTACGCTGGAGTAATCCAGGACTAAGAGGGATGAATAATTCCTGATTTATATCAGTTTAATTGAGATCCAGAATTTGTCCAGAAGTCTTAAGGGTACATTGTTCAAGCCAGAAAGACATATATCTGTTAGGTAGCTGGACCAAATTCTCCCTGCTGTCACACCCATGCCTCTCCAATTGCTCCAGCACTTCTGCACTGATGAAAGCAGCAAAAGAATTTGGCATGGCAATATTTTTTTTTTGTCGTTTATGTTTTAGTTTTACCGTCATTTCCTGCAACAGCGGTGAGCATTTTCTCCTTCTCCCCTTCACTAGAGCATCTTCTGCCACCTGTCTTCCCCTCGACCCAAAAGGGAGAGAGCATGAGAGAGAGAGAGAGAGAGAAAGAACAGCAAAGGAGAGAGAAATCAAAAGGCGCAGGATTTCATCCCAGTCCCTCAAACATTCAGAAATTTATGGAATGTACAATTAGGAGTGAACAGCAGCAAAGCGGCTAATAACATGGACTGGCAAGACCTGTACACGGAGTAGGTCCTGTTCTGACAGGGAAGAGGAGGGCTATGCCTGGACCAATTTTACTTCAACCCAGTTACAGCTGTACCAACAGCGGCCCGTTTTACCATTTTATGTCAAAGTGGATGCAACAGCTCTCACTGTTTGCTATGAAACGACTGGCTTCCACAGGGCGGTGGGGAGCAGTGAGTAGGGAGTGGCCGGGGGAGGGAAGATGTGTTGGACATCTTCTTGTTTGGAAGGGGGGGGGGAATCTCCTCTCTCTCTCTCGAATCTGCGGGGAAGCTGTGGGATGTCACCCCAGACACCTTTACGGGAACGGAATTTCATTTCACACGAATAGGCAACAACCATCCAGCCTGGTTCAACCATACCTGGTAAAACCTTGATGCAAGGGGTCCAGGCAACTTTGAAGTTAGTTAGAGCCCTGTGGGAACAGCACTTTTTTGTAGGCCATTTCTGACAAAAAAAATATATATACAACTAAAATTATTTGTGAACAACAACAACAAAAAATTAAAATAAAAAAGCACTTAATTATTTTGTTTTGTTTCTTTTACTCAAAGGTCGTCTAACAACCCCCTTTTTTTCTGTACAATAAGGACTTCACATACAAATTTTTTTTTATTTTTGCAATATTTTATCCTGCCAAATTAAAAAAATATATTATGGCAGCCTGTTTGTTTGTTTTTATTTTTATTTCCAAATTCACTAACAAAAAGGTACATTAAATCCCTTTAAAAGGACAAGCGTACAGTTAAAAAATTACAAGCTTCAGTAAAAATACAGCAAGTGCCTACATCATATGAATCAACCAATATCAATATCCATTCCAGAAGGGGAAGGAAAGGTGGGAAGGGGAGAAAAAAAAGAGAAAAAAAGGTACAGGTCAGAAACGTGATTTTTTTTTCTGCAAAGCAATAACAATATTAAGCACTTTTTTCTACATACCTTTTCTACATGGTGTAGCAATCACCTTTTAATCCCCAAATACAAGATTCTATACATTTTTGAAATAAAAATTCAACACCCAAGGCAGAAAAAAATTTACTAAAACTCAAGACTTTACAGTTACAGTGACAAGAACAAATTTATAGACCCACCATTTAAATTTTACTGCAACATTTTCAAGGAAAAAAGAAAAGGTTTTTTTTTTTTTTTTCTTTCTGGTTTTGTAAAATGCCCAGGCATTCTCCATTATTACAAATACTGGTCCACTTTTACAGTAATCAAGAAATTTTAATATATATAATATATACTAAAACCCCGTCACCAAAAGAAAACAATATACACATGGCCATTATGGCATTTTTTTTAATAACCTATTAAGCAAACTTTGAAAAAAAAAAGATTGCTCAAACACACATACACACAATTTCTTTTTTACCCTTGTATGTATTCAATACTGTAAACGTATTTTAAGACAGAGTGCACTAAATTTAACTTTTAAAAAAAATTAGCCGTTGTTCCTGAATTGTTTTTTCTCATTCAATGATAACAACTTGTAATTTGTGTCATTTGAGTTTTAATTCAGCAGTAAATCATTTCCATTCCATTTCCTAAGCAGCGTTGTCCTGAAAAAAAAAAAAAGGCTGAGAATAATTCAGCTAATGGATGTCCGAAGTTGTGCTGGGTATACATCTTCATTTGATTGGGTCTTATGGCATTTTCATGTCCACTATCTTCAACCAGTAATTTTTTTTTTTAAGTAAATGTGGCTCTTTTTTTCTAAAGAATGTACTTTTCTTGTTTTACTTTTTTTTTAAAAGTCTTTTCATTTCACAAAAACATTTTGCATTTGTCTCAAGAGACTCAAATAGGAAGATCAGTTTTCAAGGCACTCACGTCAAATTGAATGGCAGTAGAAAAACTGTCCAATAAATTATTTTTATTTATTTTTCTTTATAGTGCCAGTATTGTGAATGCCATGCTTAGCAACACTGACACTTAATCTCAGCTGTTCCCTTACAGTTTAACCCACCTTTGGGCCAAGTAGAAGGATATGATGTAATTTCTTGTTGAGAAGCCATTTTTCTCTTAACCACAAACAAAAGCTTTAAAGTGCGGGTCAACATAATTAAAATCTCTAACCATAATTGTCCACTGTTTGCTAATATCAGTTGTAAAAGGCTTTAAAAAATTTGGAATTTGAAAGTAGAGCAGGTGCATTTTTCTTTTCTTTACTTTTTTCTGTTGTAATGCTTTTATCTGAAAACAATTCCATTCTGTTCCTAATTAAGTCAAGGGGAAAACTCTTACCGACTTCAGTAGGAGCAGAATCTTGCCAAGACAGGTAAATCAACCAGATTTTATTTTTCCCTTCCTTATAACATCATTGTACATCATATAAGACAGTTCTAATATTTCCATTCATAAACAAGATGCCTGTAAGTTGAGGCTTTTCATTGAGAAATTCACACTTTCCCATCCTCTAGTAATTATTTTAACTGCAGCAAATCTGAACTAAAATAGATGTCCTGAACAAAAATTTATGATTTTGCGGTTTAAAAAGAAAAAAGATGGACTTTGGCTGCTCCAAGATTTAAAAGGAATATTACAATAGTCAAGATGTAGTTTTGCTGTCTCTGGGAAGAATGGTGGGAGGGAAAAAGGGAGGGAAAGACACCCCAAAAAGTGACAAAATGGCACTGTTATGTTGACATAGCTTTTAACAAGAAGAAGAAACTATCCAATAGTAATGCACAATTAAGAATCTTTCTGGGGTTTTAATGTAGCTGCCTTCTGCACCTATGGTTTTTTTTGTTGCCATAACTTTAGTGATTAAATCCATCTAGAAAAGGCCTCTATCGTCAGCGACATTGTCAGTGCTACATATTCCATCCAATTCCAAAAGAAAGTGCTAATTTTAAAGATTGTTATTCGCTGTACAATTTTGTTTTCCGTAATCTTCAAGGTTATTTAAGAAGAGGAAAGGAAAAAAGAAAGGAAAAAAAAAAGGAAGAAAGATTTCTGTTCAAATGTTGGCTTCTTCACAAGAAATTACACATGCTTAGCTTAAATTTCAACAAAGCAGCGGCCCAAAAATTATAATTTAAAAAGATACGTTTCTCCCCTACAATGCAAGTAATCTCAGGCTACGACTGGGTAAAATTAAAAAGGGATACCCAACAAAATTTTAAAAGAAATTTAAACAGAAAGAATAAAAAAAAGTACCTGCACATGCCAAAAAATTACAAAAACCCAATAAATACAGAAATTATTGCACAGTTAAAAGGCTCCACAATTTTTACTGCCTTAATCAACCCTCGGGTTTAATAGAACTTTGCAGACACAGGTTATATTTCAAGTGCCAAAGTCTGGCACCTACCATAGTTAGGCTAAGTTATGTTTACGGAGGCAAGTTAGGTCATCTTTTCTCAGTTGGCAATAGTTAAACTGTACAAATAAAATGTTACCTAGACCCCTGAAATTTAACCTAGCGGGGGCGGGGGGGGCCTTAGCTTCTTTCTGCCTGCTCAATTTTGACGTCATTTGTCAGCAAATGTTCTCCATGCCACTTTTTCATGTGTTTCTCCAGGGTGCTGTAAACACTGAAGGGCATCTGGCAAATGTCGCAGCGGTAGACCTCCTTCCCTATCTGGCCATGCGTTTTCATATGGCGCGTCAGCTTACTGCTCTGGGCACATGCATAGTTGCAGAGCTCGCATTTGTAAGGCCGCTCTCCAGTGTGGCTCCGACGGTGCACCGTCAAATTGCTGCAGTTCTTAAAGACTTTGCCACAGTACTCACATGTATCGCTCCTGCGCCCTTCCTTCGAACTGGGTCGCCCAGGGCCGGGACCGCTGATGTGGGGGGTGCTGCCTCCGCTCGCCGTGCCGCTGCGCCCTGAGAGCCCCCCGTCCAGCATGTCCCCCGGCGGGGTGGAGAAACGCAGGCTCCCGTTCTCCGACGAGTGCTCAGAAGAGGTCGCGAAGGGGGATTGTCGGGAGTCTGTGAATCCAAGGAACGGATCCTTCATGAAGTGCCGCGATGCTGCGTACCCTACCAGCCACTGAGAGTAAACGTTTTCGGAAGGTATTATCGTTGCTGGTGGCAAGTCCAAATCTTTCTCGACCTTTATTCTTTTAGAGGAGTTGTTTAAACTGGGGCTCGTGATAGGTGTTGGCTTGCGGGGGAACAAGTTTGGGAAGGGTTCACCTGGGCCAAAGTTTCTTCCGTTGACCGTCCCTTCCTCAGTGCGGTCCAGCTCTCCTACCACTGAGTCTTCGTCGCCTGGATCTCTCTGACAGAGGTCTCGAGGACACAAGTCTCGCTGGTCAGAAGACCTTTTCATGAAGCTACTCCTCTTCTGTTTCTCAGCTAGCATGTCGTTATATTGCTGGATGGCACCTAGACTTACATTCTCGATGACTTTTCCCAGGACAAGGGATTTCTCATCTGGCAGTGACTTGGAGCCGTTTTCTCGGTTACGACTCAGCTCCGAGTCCATACTGAAGCTCGACTCTGGTCGGCTCTCATTTTCGAGCTCCTCTTCCTCCTCCTCCTCCTCTTCCTCTTCTTCATTGTCATGGCCCAGGGAAGGATCACTCTCATTCCTGAAATCTGCCTCACTGGATTTCAGTCCCTCTCCAGTGAGCTCGCTTGTGCCCGGCTCAGGGGAACTAGTGGTGGACAGTCCATCGTCTGACCTGCCCGTCATGGAGCCAGCTTTATGCATATGCGTTTTCATGTGGCGTTTTAGCTTGCTGGCCTGGGAGCAAGCGTGGTCACAGAGCTGACATTTGTAGGGCTTTTCTCCTGTGTGACTGCGCCGGTGCACGATAAGGTTACTCTGGAACTTGAATGTTTTCCCACAAAATTCACAGGACTTGCTCTTGGCCTGAGGCTGGGGAGGCGTAGTGCTGCTGGGGGGCATGGGGGGCAGTGGTGGGGTGCTCAAAAAAGGTGATTTAGGGCTCGGCTGGAAAGGATTCAACAGGCGATGCATAGGGTTGGTGCGACTGGGTGAGACTGGCGGAGGGGTGGAACTGTTTCCTGCCAGCTCTCGAAGCCTTCTGGAGAAATCCATCGCTGGGGACTCAATTGCCATGGGGTTTAAACGCATAACTCTGTCAAAGGCACTGGGATGCTGGGCAACTAACCCCATTTCTTCGGCACTAAGGCGATGTGGATCCAGATGATGACGAGGCGGTGGGCTGAACAGCGGAGGCGTGTTTGGGAGCCGACCCTCACCAAAGCCAGGGTGTTCGCGCAAGATGGGTCCTGTCATCCGCAAAAGATTGAAAGGGTTGTTGTCTCCAAGGAAATTCATCAGCGGGGACTGTGCAACAGTCTCCGGTCCCAGAGGAGGAGGGATGGTGATGCGTGGAGTAAGGGAACTGTTTGAAGGGCTTGTTTCCAGGTAGATGCGGAATCCATGTGTGTTCTGGGCATGCTGAAGCAAGAACCAAGCGCTATTAAAAGGCTGCTTGCATGTTGTGCAAATATAGCTTGAAGGCTCATCTTTACCTATAAAAGAAAAACAGAAAGAACACTCAAAAAAATAATACAGCGGAGAACATTTAAATACAGTTGGCATGCGCTTTATTTTGCTAACACATTTCCTCCTTGGCATTTCTGAAAGAAGGACTTAATTGCAATGTATTGACTGATATAAATTGTTGAACAGCACATTTACTCACCACACTTATTCACTTAACATGTATGACAAATATCACACATACGCATTGGTGCTATATACATTTATATCCTCTAACTTGCAAATAAAACCTTCCTTTATGACGCATAAGGATCGAAATCCTTTCACGTGTTTATTCCACAAAAAGGAATTTGTTTCAAGGGATTTATGACTACAGACAAAAACCAAGGAAAATGTGGTGTGGTAGGTTTTACAAGGCACCTGCGAGGAGCTTCAGTGTCATTTTCACTCTTTCATTTTATGTTTTTATATACTTCATGCAGCAGTCCCCTGAGATCTTGCTGAATTTAATTTATACATGGTTCAGTCATGCCAGCACTTCCATTTTTAAAATACTATGTAGGTATTTAGCTACACAAGTCCTATTCAAGTCAACAGGAGCTTGGAAAACGCACCCTTGCATAAACCACTTTGACATTCTTCTTGCCAAAACACCAAGAAGCCACTCAAATGAAACATCCGGTAATCAAAGCCGACAGCACAGTTGCAATTAACAGTAACAAATGTCGGGCCGTGCTTGAACTGGGTCCCAAGAATTTCTGAGCCTGAGCCTGCCCTCCAATGCAGAAACACTCACTGGAGCCAAAAACATTGTTCTGTTTGCCTTTCTAGCCTCTTTGAACAACTGCATAAAGGTGGAAAGCATTCCTTTAACCTTAATTCAGCTTTACATAAAGGACAGGTGTGGACAAGTCTGCACTACAGTCATAATTTTTGCTAGCTAGAAAATTCCAGTCCTGGGCACAATATAAACTACGTGCTATCTTCAAAAAGCACTTTTCCCCCCTCCTTTTTTCAGTGCCTCTGCAAGATTCTGATAAATTCATAAATATGTGTCAATTTGAAAATCATGATCCAGGGTTTATTTTGTTGTTGTGGGTTTGTTTGGTTTTTTTTCTTTTAAATGAGGGGGAGGTTTCCTAAAAAACCCAACTACTCATTTTGGAAAATCTAAAATTAATTTCTTGCTTGTTTGTTTGTTTATGAAAGCACATATTTTGGCTAGCAATGGTCCCACTGCACCTAAAGGCACTAAACTTCCTGAAAGTTCAAAGCTTGAACCAAGCTTCCCACCTGACCTGTATCTGCATAACGATCCGAACGAAGCCCGATCCCAGCCCTTCCGCAGGAGCTCGGATCCCAACCCCTTTCTAGACAGGGGCACTGCAATTCACAAAAGCCTGTTGCATGAGCTTGAAAATGAAAGAGTTTATAAGGTGAACAGAACCATATTATTGAAACTACCTTTGTAAAGATAAATTACTCATAACAGTCAAAAAAAAAAATCAAAAAGGAAAAAATTTAACTCAGGCACACCAGGCGAAGCAGGATTGCTGCTGACTGAATTCCCCTCTTCTGGCTGTTGCAGGAATGGCTGCTGCTAACAAAACCTACAAAACCTTAGACAAGGAGGCTAGAAGATTATCTGCCTACCTATCAGCCTGTCAGTCTATCTAATCTTATCACCCAATGAACATCCATAAAAGCATAAAGGAAAAAGCATCTATCAGATTGAGACTTATTTACAAAGGTAGGTGATAAATGTGGTGCAGCTCCTCACGCTCCTATTGATTTAGTAGGGCTATTGCTGTGGATAGCAGCCTCAGACCCCGATTTCAGAGAAGCCGGCTCTCCGCGGCCAAGAAAAAACCTACACAACACGGCGGGCCTTTCTGCCCGGCTGACACGGCCCCTGTGCCCCAGCCCTGCGTCATACGGGACAGACACAGTTGCTTTGATTAATCTCTAATGACCGCTGTTGGAAAAAACAGAAGTTTGGGAAGTGTACTCAGCTTGGAAAAAGTGCCCGTAACTGCTATTGACATTAATGAAAGCCACATACAAACACGGAAAGGAACTGATACATTATCCCTTGAAAATCTAGTCAGCACTGAGGCAGTTAGGGAGTTTTATGTCAGCTCTGCGGCCAAAGCAACAGTAAATGCTCCCATTATTACTTCAAATATTTAAATTTCTGTTTCTTACAGAAATATGATGAAAATGTCTAGACCTTTAACTTTTCTTGCACGACAACATGTGTAGTATAAAAAGTGACAGAAATCACTGAGGCAGACTAAAGTATATAACATACTCTGCGAAAAGCTTTTTTTAACAATATGTTTTACCTCAGCTCACCCTAGAATAGATTTTAATAAAGCCCCTTCTGAAGTGTGATCTAATAGCAAATGAAGTGCAGCATCTTACAAGGTCATATATCTTCAAATTAAAGAGTGCTCTGCACCCTTCACCTTCATTTTATCCACTCTAATTAATCGATTTATTACCCACAGCTGTTCGATTCTTTCATTTTTAAAGTCACAGCATGCATTCTTTTTTGTTGTGGGGTTTTTTCTTCAAAAAAATAAAGTGTGTGAGTATGTGTGCGTGTGCATGCATTCTCCTTGCTTAGCTCAAGAGCTGACAGGAGGAAGAAAGCAGCTGTGTATTAGATGACGACGACAACAACAGCAACACGTTTACTTCAGCAAAGGCACATACGTAAGGAGAAAAATTCCTGAGCATGCTGAGGATCAAGGCCAATCTAAAACCGAAATGGCTGATTAAAAAAATTACCCTCAAAATGGCAGCTAGCTGGATGCTTGCTACTACATGTTACATGGAACTGAGATGTTTTGTTTTGTTTTGTTCTCCAAAACTTCAGCTTTGTGAAATTCAAGTGAGAAAAGTAAATCCCCCCACTTTTTAGTTTTCTTTCAAACAGAGCAAATTAGTGCTATTAATGATCTAAGATTTACAAGCTAGCAGTCATAAAACAGTCTTCTCTTCCTTTTTGTTTTGTTTAGCTTTTATGCTCCTTAACACTCCTCTTCAGGAGACCCCGACACGATGGCAAAATTGACTGCAGGCTACCTAGCTACCAATCTCTGACTGCTTCACGAGTGTTTGTGTGTGCATGCCTGTGTGTGTATATATATATATTAACTTGCACAACCCTCAAAGTCTCTCCCTAGACTCCCCGTTTTAAAAAAAATGAAAAAAATAAAATAAAATGTTCATTTCCATATTATCACTTCATGGTTATCTTGCCTAGAAGTTGCCCTGAGCAGTGTAGATGCTCACTTTTAAGAACAGAACAATGTCAAAAAGTCTTTGAAGATCCACTCTGAACATTTTTATATTCAAAAACTTGCTAAATATTTTAAACATGCCCAGAAACAGCCGCATATTGCTCAAGAATGATCCTTATATTTAATAATGCAGTGCACCTACACTATAAAACTCTTTGTTATAAGGCTACTTTTGATATATGGCTATCCTAATCCCTTGCCACCTGCACTGAAGTCTGTCTAAATACCCACTTTATGACAACTAGCAATATAGGCTTTGCCATATGCAGTCTTTATCACTTTAGCATGTGCTTGACTTTGAGCATGTGAGTAATCAACATCAGTGAAACTTAAGCATAGGCTGAAGTGCTCTGTTGGATAGCGATGAAATTATTCATGTGCTTAGAGTTAAGCACAAGCCAAGACTTCATTAATACTGTTCAATGAATTGCACATGGATTGAACCATACAGTCTGTAACTAGGCATGATTTTCGGGACTGATGGCTCAAATATAATTTTTTATCTTTACATTAGTTGGGAGATACAGTGTAGATACAAGACATCCAGCCCACAAGCCCTGAGCAGTCAATAGTAGCTTCAAGGTTGCACTAGAGCCAAACAAATACAGCCACTGGAGTTCAGACATGACACAGGTTTGCAGGTCTGGATCCTACTGAGACACAGGTGTACACGTTCAGCAATATTGATTTGAAGGCTAGGAAGGACTGTGAAATTAAAGAATGAGAGAGCTGGGATAAATCTTAAAGGTTGCCCTTGTCCAATTCCTGACCCAAGGGATGTCCATATCTATGCATCTATTCATATCTATGGCAGATGATCCATTATTGCACTATATAATATATACCCCATATACCCGGATGGGGAGTCTACAACCTTCCCAAAGTCCACTTCATTCCTTCTCTCCTTTACCATCATAAAGGTTCCCCAGATGCCTAATCTAAATCTTTCTTCCTGCAATTTAAGATCATACCTACATGTACATGAAAAACACAGGAAACAATTTAATCTGCACCTCACATACAGGTATCATCCAGCCCAGTGATTTGCTGTTGAACCACTTAATGTCTTTTAGCACCCCCTTCTCCCAGCTTGATTTGGAAATGTCGAGTGAAAGAGAATTCACTATGTATCGCAGCAGTCTGTGGCAATGGTTGACTATCTTCAGTATTAAAAAACCTGTCTTCTTTCCGATTTGAATTGCTGAGTTCAACTGTGAACCATTAGAACTTGTTATGTTTTTATCTGGTAGATTAAAAATCTATTTAGCATCTTCTGCCTAAGCAAGTAATTATAAACTATGAACTTATTGAACACTCTTGCCTTTTCTGCGTATTATGACAAAAGATGGTCTTTTCCAGAAATATTAAAATGTGTTCCCTCCATTACTGCATGACAGATTATGTTCTGTTCAAAATGTCAAAGCAATAATGAGTTTTTCTCTCTTTCATGAACTGCACAAAACAAAGCTAAATTCAGATCCTGCCTCCCAAATTCTGCCCTTACAGGGGGCAGTGAGAAAAGACAGGTTGGTTTGCCCAGCCCAGAACAGGAGTAGCCTGGGTCTGTGGACATTCATCCCACCGCGCCAGGCAGCCTGAATCCCCTGACTTATCTGTTCTCTGCAGTCTGACTTGTATCATTACTGATACGCAGATCTTCCTTGCCCAGTTGGTACATGACTTTCTATATACCCTGAATGCTGAGCCCCTTTGCCCTGGAG